TGCCCTGCTCCTGCTGAGCACGCTGTTCCGGAGACAGGCCAGGAGGCTGTTGGCCTCCTTGGCCACCTGGGCACACGCTGGCTCAGATTCAGCCGCCGTCAACCAACACCCTCAGGTCCTTTTCTGCCTGACAGCTTTCCAGACGCTCATCCCCAGGCCTGTAGCACTGCCAGGCCTTTAGCGACCGTAATGCAGGACCCATCACTCGGCCTTGTTGCACCTCAGCCCATGTTAATGGAAAGATTTAAGAACGAAGTAATTATGAAGCTTCTTGGTTGAAACCATCAAGGGCGGTTTGTAAAAGAAAAAGGCATTTCCTAACAACAGTTTTCAAAGCGTAAACTTAAACAAAGCAAGAAGTAGGAGTTGCTTGAACGAAGCGCGCCGAGCTAAGAACGCCGCACCTGCGAGACGCTCGTGGGCTCTGCTGTATGTGGAGCGGTGTTTTGGAAGAAGAGGATGGGGATGCTCCGCTGACCGCACAGCTGTACGAAATGGCTGCCCTTGAGAGAGGCGTCGTGAGACAGCTCCCCGTTGTTAGCCACCACCCCCACCAGGCGCCTACAAAAGAGAGAGGGGAACGTCTTCGCCTCTGAACCCCAGAAATGACGAGACTGGCGCTCACCGTGTTCTGAAGGATGGAAACATCCGTGCGCACAGGGAGCTCTGCCCTGTTACCGAAACTCGGGGTGTAAGAGGAGGCGCTTACACGTGTCATTGCATTCAAGAACCCTCACCTGCCTGACACATCCCAGAGCACTCCCGGCTGTAAAGCGGGGAAGTACCAACGTGGATTAACACCCAGAGGGCAGGTGAAGCTACGGATGTCAGAGCTGACACTGCAAGGCACATGCAAGGTGCCAGGACTCTGGGTTCTAATGCCTGCAACACACAACACGACAGTCAATCTGAGAAGTTTATACTCTGGACCAAAAGAGTCTCTAAAAATATTACTATCTTTTTTTTTTTTTGAACTACGCAAGGTTTTACTGTGTTATCCCACCTCCCTCACATGGGAGAAGGAATAGTAGCTTACAACTCAGTTGGGGAAGGAACACTTAAAGATGCTCTTTCTTAAGGAATCCCCAGAGACTTCTCAGTTCCAACTCTCTGGCCAGTAATTTTGGTGAACAAACAAATCATTTCACAAAGCCATGAAAACCACCCGTTTGTAATCACCCTCTGCTGCTACGGGCCTGAGACACGGTGAATTCTGAGCTTGAGACAGAAGATCAGGCTTTCTAGCAGTGCGTTATTACCAATTCCTGACTGATTCAGAAGGTCGTCACCAGTGTTACTGGAATACTGTAAAAGCTGATCATGATAGGAAAGCTCCTCAAACAAATATGTCTACAGATTTTGACAGCGAAACCTTAAGCCTTACCCTTCCACGTGGCCAAATCCTGTTACTAATGTTGTTCCATAATTAGCCTTGAATTCCTGGAATCGGCTTCCATCCATCAGACGGCTCAGAATCTGCAAAGAAACAGTCTTTAATACAGAAGTTTAAGTGAAAATAGGGTACTTCTGCTAAATTATACGCTCTGTTCCAACAGGAAGGAGACCTGTGCTATGCAAGAAGTCAACCCAAGCGAGCACGGAAGGCCCTTTGGTCTTGCACTCCGCTAAATACTCAATATGCACAAAATACCAAACCTCCGTTTATGTTTGATTACCAACCACGTGTTTTCAGCCCAAGTTCAACTCCAAAATTACTTCAGTGCTACAGGAGCACAGCTGCTCCCGTGCATAAAAGTGGCGTGAAGAGCCCCACGTGTGCAGACACAGTCTGTGTGCGTGAGAAACACTCGGCTGCATGTTGCTATTGCTTTCTTCCAATGCCATTTAAAGCTGCCTTCAAAGCTACACTGCTTTCTACAGTTAGTCCCCTCAACTGTAGGAATTCACCCCTGGAAAAGATACTGGATTCAATTCCTTGGAGACTAAATCTCTTCTAGAACCACACCATGAAAATAGCGTGGGCAACTCTGCGTCTCTCTGCTTATGTATTAGCATCTATCCCAGCCTCAAACAAGGTTAATTTGAGCTTTTTTGGGTTTTGGCCAGTATTTCCATGAGGCATTTAGGTTACAGGATAGAGTCTTGAGGGGAAAAAACCCAACGGCAGGGGAAACAAGGGCACTGAAGGGTTGCACATCCTCAAGGCAGCCACCGCAGCACAAGACATACTGCCACAACAGCATCTCCAACAGCAGGTGGGAAGCAGATGGGGATCGGCTGGCATCATCTGTCATTACCTGACCTCTAGCAGGTTTTTAGCTTCAATATTTTCTGTAACTCTACAAAATTCTTGCCATTCTGCTTTGTTGCAGACTCAGGAGTTTGGCAACTGATTAGGTAATACAGAGTTTCTCTCTCTCAAAGAGAGAACAGCCTGTTAGTCTGGAGGTACTGGGCAGAGCGACTGACGGGACGAAGGAACACGGCATCCGTCACCTTACCAGTTTCACAGGCAGAGTACACCTATAATCTCGCGGTGCCAGTCCCAAGAGCTCATCAGAACTATAGAGAGGACTGTCATGCTCCGTGGCCTCCTCTGGCAGGGGATCGTAATTTAACGTTGAGATAACATTTCGAATGCACTCGTAGGCTTCTTTTTCCGAGGATGCAAAATGGTCACTACAGCCACTGACTCTAGGAGAGAGAGCAACGTTAATTAGCATGGAATTAATGAAACCTGAATTCTGACAGAAAACAAACCAAAGGAAAAGCCTTCACCCATACGGTGGCTCTCCAAACTCCCAGTAAATATTGTGGGATTTTGCTCTTGAGTGAACGAGTTGAAAGCAGTAAATCAGCGGAATTTCTGTGCAATCCAACCCCAAACCAAATTCACAGTAAAAAGAAGTTCTTCCCTGTGACCTGTGTTAACCTGTGCTGAAGAAAGACCTCTGAATCTCTTCTCACGATGATGTTGTTGCAAACGATATCATAAAGGGAAAACAACCTTTACAAATTATTGCAAAATAAGCACTTCTGGCCCAGATATAAAGACAGCACGTCGTTACGTGTAACACAGGGAGCTGGCTGGCTGTGGGAAAGGTATGGAATCTGGTTCTGGTATACACAAAGCCAACCCACCCTTTTCCCCTATCCAGAAGACAGTAACTACTTTGACTCCTCACTTTAGGGAAGAAAAAAGAATTTCTTATGCATTTTCCCCATCATCACACTCACAATTTATATTTTTTTTAATGTATGTGTCCTGATAACGTTTATGGTAGTGACACCATCCCTTTTCTGCAGCCGGTCCCTCTGAGGCACAGAGGAACTGACCTGCCTGAAGTCGTTTAGAAAGTATGTGAAAAAATGGGGAATCAAACCCAAATTTGTCCAGTCCCCGCTTCACCCCACAACATCATTTCATTTTGCTTCCATTTGACTCAACTAACGAACAAAAAAAATAAAACCCCACACCTGAGAAGAAAATGGTGTAGTAACAGGTTCTGACCTCTGACCCCTAAGTTTTCCATCAGTGTGTGTGTATACACAGAGTGGAAGTGAAAAGTTCCCCTGGATAACAGACAGTGCCGTGTTCCTTGGGTAGCCCCACGGCACTCCCACCTCTGTAAGCAATACCACCAGCCTCTACAGGAATTCAAGTGTCATTTCTGCTGGGTTCTCACTGCGTGTTCAGTCCCTGAGGGCCACGCTGTGTCCCGTCACTGTGCCGGCTTCAGTCACACCGATACAAGACACCACAAGTTTCTTTAAAGCCAAGTATGCTGAATTCTCTGCTATTTTTGAGACCTATTTCACGTACTCAGAGTGAAGTTTAGCTCCTCCCAGGTCCTCAGGAGAGACATACTCTCCTGTAGCGGCTTTTACCAGAGGTGGGCCAGCAAGGAACAGCGTACCGATTTTATCTACGATCACGGCTTCTTCGGCCATGGTTGGCACGTAGGCACCGCCGGCCACGCAGGAGCCGCACACCACGGCCACCTGGAGGACAAAGAAACCGAAGCAAATCCCGGGGCCGGAGAGAGGAGAACAGAAAGGCAAAACCATTACGGTCATTTCAGAAAGGTTCAAGAGACCAAATCGCAGCTTGGGGAACAACGATTGGAGAGATAAATCCCAGCGTGAACACCGGTGCTGGTTTTGAGAGAGCTCCCCTGTTTACTCTGAAATAACCTAGGGATTTGGTGCTTTTCCGCCGCGAACGGTCGGCAAACACTTAGAAGATCCTCAAGGCTGAAATTTTCTCTTATGGGAGATACTATTCGAATCTCCCATCCCCACAGACACAAAAGGTGAGCTTTGGGAATTCTTTTGTGGACGTTTCAGAGTAGTTTCTAGAATCTGTATTAAAACAACACTTTTTTCATAGGTCTGTTGATCATAAAACCATCGAATCGTTTGGGTTGGAAAAGACCTTGAAGATGAAGCCCAACCCTCACGTTTGCTACACTTACTTGTACTCCAAATGCCACCGTACCTGCGGGATTCTCATGGCAGACATTATGGCTTCATTGTAGAAAACTCTGCCACCGTGTGACTTGTCAGGGAACAGCTCCGACTGGCGTTCCAGGGAAAAGACAGCGTCAGTTTGAAGTACAAAAGCCAAAGGTGCTTCCTCCCCCCATTCACACACCCACCTTGTAACGGCTTCTGGGAAGGTCACTACTAGCAATCACACCCGAAACTTCCACACACAGCATTCCTACGGGATTTATGCCCCCTGTTCATCGTGCAATTCCACAGAAATACCCACGTGTGCTGAAAGCAGAGGTGAGGTTTGTATTTTTTTGTGGAACCAATTCTCTGTACCCAAACTGAGACTGTAAACGTGGAGAAGGGGCAGCTCGTGTTGGCACTTCAGCTGTGAAACGCCTTCAGCACAGTTTCCCTTTTCCCTGAGGTTTTGACACAATTCCTTCAGGCAGAAGGTAGCAAAAGGTAGAAACTTTTTTCTCCATGGTTGCTTTCAGTCTGGAGAGGGAACAACCATGGTCTGTGTGACAACACGACCTCTGTACGTTGGAAAGCAACCTGTGCAAATCCTCCTTTTACAGCAAGAATTTAAAAATTTGTACATTTGTACAGGCCACGGAGGTTAGTGCCTTACAATAAAATACAGAGTGACTTTATAGATTCTGGAGCTGAAAACAGAAACCTCACATAACGTACTGACTTCCTGCAGACACCAGAGCATTTCGGCACACCCGTGCTCGGGCACCACTGTGTCCCCCCCTGACAGTCAAGTTTCTGAACTCTGATTAGCTGCAGGATTAGCCAAAGTGATCACCGCTGTTAGAATCCTTCAAATAAACCCCCCGGACTCTGAGTTGTGGACAAAACTTGATTTAACAGACAACGGAAGGCAAGCAGCCAAGAAAACACAACATATACCCGAGGTTTACTGCTAAATTAATACGATTAAGGCAAATGTAGGTACTTTCTATGAAGCGGTTCCAGTATTACCTGGAGTGGTAGGAATGGCTCCCCCCCGTCCACGAGGTACACAGATAACAGCCTGTTCTGCATAAGGCAAACGTAGGTATGAAGCGGTTCCAGTATTACCTGGAGTGGTAGGAATGCTCCCCCGCTGTCCACGAGGTACACAGATAACAGCCTGTTCTGCATGGCTATTTCTTGAGCTCTTAATTGCTTCTTCACCCCAATTGGATAAATAGTTCCTCCCTTTACCGTCGCATCGTTTGCCATGAAGACACACCAGACCCCACAGATCTTGCCAATTCCTGTAAGTGGCACCACAGATACTTCTCTAAATACCACAGAAGGAACAAGGCAGCCAAATGACAGCTAGGATGTTCCTTCGGTAGTACGGTGTCAAGCAGCTGCAAATTAAGTTGCAGGTACCACACAGGGAAGAAATCTATAGTTCTTCTTGGAATAACAAGTTGAAAGCCAATGACATCATAAAAAAACTTTTATATGACAGAAGACAGAACTTGAAATAAACTTACTTACTCTGGGGACAGTGTAAGAGAAACAAATACATAGTTTGTCTCCCAACCCCTGAGACAACAGGGGAAGCAATTAAGAATTACCTATATAAAACCAAAAAATGCAACAATTTGCGACAAAAGATAGCATTTCCTACTCTATTCTTCTAGTTACTTTTTAAACTGGTCTTCAAAATGCAACAAAAAGGCTTGGCTGTAATTGGAAAACTGTTACAAAATAGATGTCAGAGCTCCTGTGTCTCACAGTAACTCCGCCCCCTTTCCTCTGCCAGACGAAGCAGCTTATTTGACACTTCCTCCTAAAGTTCTTGAGACAAAAATCAGTAACTGATTAGTAAGAAAGTAGAATAAATTACTAAATCTAGAAGAAATGAAAGAACCCTTTTTCTTTAAATGTTTTTTCCCAGATTTCCCCGCAAATGTCACAGAAGAGTATCACAGCAGTGGCTGAGCTCTTTCATGCTGGGAGCAGAAGAATAACACAGCGGTGGCTGAGCTCTTTCATGCTGGGAGCTGCTACTGGACAGAGCTGATGTTCGCTTTCCCTAGGAAAGCACATTCTTAAGATACTAAAATATCCCATAAACCTGATTACATGCATCCTTTTTCCTTTCCCAGGAAGAACAAGCACCTTAACGTGGTCACTGTAGGAAGGTGTGCAGCACACAGAGACCACAACCAACGTGCAGTGCCTACACCTCATACCGCACCCCAACAGCAGCCCTCAGATTGGATTAAGGATCACATCGGTTCAAAACCTGTCTTCCTTCAGGGCTGCGCCTCCAGTGTGTGCTCGAAGCAATACCCTCAACCCATCTTTAGATTTAATATGATTCATAAAGATCTGGGGAATGAGACAAAGGAACTTCATCGATCTGCCGCCCCATGCAGCGTTAGACTTGCCGTTACCCGTCACGCAGCCTGCAGCAGGGACGTCACCGTAGGGCATACTGAGCCCCGCCAGCGGAGACAGCTCGAGAAAAGACTCATCATCAAGTAGCAGCTTCAGGCGTTCACGAACAAATAGCTTCTTGTTTCTCTGCGTATGACGCAGGATGGCATCTTCACCCCCTCCTTTACTGACCGTCTGTAGCAATTCTGAGTATCTGATTTAAAAACAAAGTTTCAGTTAATGGAAACCACTTTTACTTGCAAGCTTTCCTTCAGTTTATTTAACAGTACCGAAGTGTATTGCACAGTTTTCATACCAGCGGTACGAGGATGAGAATTCGCATTTTTGGATCACTGTTTCTTACAAAGTGTAATAAAAAGCAAAGGTTTGTTACCCAAAGCAAGCACTTTAGTTTTGTTATTCAAAAACCAGCTAGTAAAGGAAAGAAGAGAAACTTAAATAGTATAAATTAGTTAAATAGTCTAAATAAGAGAGTTAAATAGTATAAATATTCTATCTGTAGGTCACGTTCATAGCTAGTAGACATTATGAAGTCCATCTCCTCCCCTGGGTGTTGCCTACACACACCCAACACCCACTATTTCACGGTACATGATCACACACCCAGCCAGCAACCCCAGGAGCGGAGCCCTGATGAGGGGCTGATCACCAGCAACCAAAGCTGACTTTGAGAGGTACTGCCCGACAGCAACCCTAGCCTCAGTTCTTGCAGCTATCGTACTTTGCGAGCCCTCACTGAGCATGGACATTTATCCCCACGTTCCAACTACTCCAGGGAAGAACCCAGTCAAGGGCTTCCTCCTTCCGTCGCCCTCAACACGGTTGTCTGACAAAAATCAGTAACGGCTAAGTCGAATAAAGCACTAAATCTAGAAGAAATGCAGGTTCTACAGCATGAAAGATACACTCTGAAAGCAGTGACACTGCATGCACTGCAATCCTCAGGAGAGGAAGCGATCGCCGATGTTACTGTCAGGGCAGCATCAAGTACAGATAAACAACTGAATAAACTGTAAACAAATGTGGTAACTCAAATAATTTTGGCCTTAAATAAAGCAGGTTATTCATTTATTTAAAGGAAAATATTTTTCACCCAGATGCACCATCTTTTACTAAAAACACTGTTTGACATAACTATTTACGCATGATGCTGTACGTGACTCTGGCTTCCTGCAGACTGTAGAGACTGAAAGACCTCCCGAGAAAAAGGCTCGTTTGACATAACTATTTACGCACGATGCTGTACGTGATTCTGTTATTTTATTGTGGCTTCCTGCAGACTGTAGCGTCTGAAAGACCTCCCGAGAAAAAGGCTAAGGATTCTTAACAATGTCACAAATGCCACCACAGGAGGGCACAGTGCGTTTTCCATAGCTCTGCTTCCAGCTCCAGCATCACACCTCTGAACAAAGGCCTTTTTTGCCATCTGATCTTTCAGGACAAACACATAAAATACATTTTCCTGCTCTAATCAGCGAATCATGATTAACTGCAACAACTACCACCTACTATTTCGGGAGAGATCTATGAGTCACCATTTATGTCTTTGCATTCCAAAATCAAACACGCAACATTTTTTATGAAGGTCTAGAAAAAAAATACTTCTTGGCAATGTGTGAAAAACAGTGCCACGTGGCACTATCTGAAATTAAACAATGGTTTCATGTCTAGGTTCAATGGTTTAATGCCTAGGTTGAGGTATTTCAGTCAACGTTTAGGCACCTCTTCTGGGGGAGCTGAAATTTTGAAGGGCCAATCCTCATAAAATTCACTCTGCGGAGAAGCTGCTCGAGAAAAGATGAGCCAGGAAACTTAGTTTAAGTTTCAAAATGGTTAGGTAAAACTTTTAAAAAAATGTTTTAATCTCTTTTTAATTAGCATTCTATGTTAAAACGTTCCTAAAAGTGCCTGTAACTGTCACATCATCCCACAAGTAGCAACGTTTTTAAACCACCACAAAACCAGTTTATTACCTTTTAATAACAGCCTCACTGTTCCTTAAATTTTCTTCAAACACGTGTCGATGCAGAGACAGGATACGTCCATCTAACACAGGGTACGTTTTGGCATAGCGTCTGTATTTCGCTTTATTACTTGCTGAACGGCAGGGAAGCATGTCGCGTGTCCTTTTCAACCCCTGATCCTGCCGTGTCTGTGCTGGCTCCTTATCACGACACAAGTCCTTATATTTTCTTTGGAACACACGGTTTAGGGTTTGTGACCTTGGGAGCAGGGGGGACATGGCGCTGGGGGACAGTCTGCCAAGGGAGCACCAAGTGACGATGTTCCACATGGCCCACAGAGCTGAAGGGACAAGAAACAGCGTTTATTGACCAAAAATTAAACTTAGATTCCCTCGACCGGCGAGGCAAGGCTGACAGCAAACCCCCCGATGGGATCGGGAAGGACCTCCCGCGCTCCCGGGGC